CGAATTCTCCAGCATCTGCAGTTCCTACTATCTCTGGCTGAGCTGAATTATGATTATCGGTGATATACAGATTGAGCAATGACATATGCGCTGCAACGAATGTCAGTGTCTTCAGTAGCTACACAAAGAATATTTAGGAGAATAGCATGCACAGTGTGTTTCAAATTTTAGCTTTTAAAATACCAGCATTGTTTTGCACACAAGGCACATTTAAAAATCAATGCAATTTCTCCCTCTCCAGGTCTACAAGTGTCCATTCCAGGCTTGGAGCGAGCACTTCACCACTACACACTGGAACCATCTGAAAAACCCTTTGACCTAAAATCAGTTCCGCTGTCGATGGCTCCCACCTCAGAGCAGAAGTCTGGTAGGTGCATGGAGCTGTGTTCCCTTCTGACCCTCGGTAAACTGTGAACGTCATTTGTTTTCGTTATTGGACTTTCTCACCAAAGTAGTGGAGACACTAATCATTTCAAAAAGGGGAAGACCATTTTTCTTCTCCTAATTGAATGTGATAAGTTGAACGATCTTCTTCATTTTTATGTATCTCTAGAATGACATTTTGAGAAACAGATTGGGGGTTTTAATGGCTTCCGTCAAACTACTCCCTTCCCAGAAAGTGGAAATGGCAGTTTTGTTGGTGCAGCATCCTTTTGAAAAAAAATTGCATGAGTTTGTTTGAATTAGTCACTAGCTTAGGGCTGCTACAAAGGAAGGACATACGAAGGTCAGCTAGCTGTTAGAAAAGGCTTACAATTAGGTCTTTTTCTTCCTTCCCCTTCCAGCACAATGTTGAAGGACAGAGATGACTTGAACCCCTTGTGAATCCCTGCAGAGCTTGGTGAATTGCATTGGCAGTAAAAAAAGCCTGCAGGCAGTTGTGAACAGGGAGGCACCTTTGCTGCTCTTTCTGCAACCTCTATTCTTCCCCAACAAAATTTGTCTGTGTTGACTTTTTACTGATGTTTTATTATTCCAGAAATCTCTCCAGCAGCCACTGTCAAAGTGCCAGAGAAGGTGGCATCGAGCAGGCAGGATATTTTCCAAGGTGAGGGTGGCTTTGACTACAGAAATTTCAGTTTGTAGTGCAAATATTACAACACTTGATTCAGAGTTGCTGTTTGCACTAAACCCAAAGTGGAAAATCTCGTTCTGTTTCAGAACAACTTGCTGCTATCCCAGAGTTCAAAGACCTTGGCTCACTTTTCAAGTCTTCGCCTAACCCTGTCCCCCTCACAGAATCGGAGACAGAATATGTTATCCGTTGCACAAAACACACCTTCGAAAATCATTTTGTGTTCCAGGTAGGTGACTCCTAGACTTCTCAGCTGTACTTTTGTGTCCCAAAGCTGGTTGGAGTCGTTAATCTTTGTGTTTGCATTTTCCTCCCCTGGCTGCTGTTTTTTGGTCATAATGCTGAATATTTAACTTTCTGATTTGAGCTGAAATAGCAGTAAAAGGAAGACATGCATTTAATTTACACAGTACTTTCGCTAGAGTTCATTGGGGAACTCAGTGTTCACTTCGGACACCACTAACACATAGTGGCAACATTGTGTACCATCTACAAGGTGCATAGCAGTGAACCCTGCCTTCCCCACACCCCGCTACCAACAGTACTTTACAAACTCAGAGCCTTTACAATCTAGAAAAAGGGCGGCCGATGCAGGGAAGCAGCACCACATGCCATTCTGACTTGGCATTACCACCATCCTTCACTGTGGCTAGGACAAAATTCTGGATCTTCCTGCATAATAGCACTGTGATTGCACCAACACTGCAAATACTGCTGTGGTTTAAGAAGGCAGCTCACCACCACCTTCCTAAATGTAATTAGGGGTGGGTGGGAAATGCTGATCTTTCCAACAGCACAACAATTCTATTAATTAATCCCTTTTTAAATAAAAAGGATGGGGATAAATCCCTTGCTACTCTCTGAATAATGCAGTGGGATCTTTCATGTTCACCCAAAAGGATAGTTGAAAAACTAAGCTGAGAGGCAGAACCTCTGATAATGCAATACTCCTTTAGTACTGGGGGTTAGTCTCGATTATGGTCATTAATATGGGGCCATGTCCATGACCTTCTGTCAGAAAGACAATGCCAACTAACCTATAGACCTAGAGCTGCACCTGGCATTGCCCACACTCTGATTGTTAATCATGTGGGCAGCTGTAAAGTGAACACTTCCTCCTCAAGAATCAGGAACAAAAGCTCCAGTGATCATTTTGTGTCAGATTTTTCACCTGCAGCACTGTGTGAAAGTTGGGATGACACTATCTTCTTCGTATGGTGCTATCTTCTAAGGTTGTCTTTTGTTGAAGCGAGGTAACAAAAAGGGGTTCGAAGTCTTTCAACAACCCATAATAGCTGTGTGTGTGAAGATCTGGAGGGTGCTGAGGGCCAAAGGTAAATGAGAGGTGGACCAGCAGCGAGCCTCCAGGCTCTAGTTCAAGCCCTATCTGGTGATATCTTAATAAGTTGCATTTGTTAAATTACTTTCTGTTTGGCCTCTGTAGTTTGATTGCACCAATACTCTGAATGACCAAATATTGGAGAATGTCACAGTGCAGATGGAACCGACAGAAGGTTACGAAGTGCTGTGCTGTATTCCAGCGGCTACCCTATCCTATAACCAGCCAGGCATCTGTTATACGCTGGTGATGTTGCCTGAGGAAGATCCAACTGCAGGTGAGGAAGCATTTGCAGTTACCTGGAGGATGTTGCATTGCCGAGACATTGCCCCTCGCAACTTTGTAAACCTCTGTAAGGTCATAGATAAGCTGAATAGCCCAGGCCATTTTTCCTAGGGTAGTGGAGTCCAAAACTGCAGGACATAGGTTTAGATGAGAAGGGAAAGATTTAAAAGGGACCTGAGGGGCAACTTCTTCACACACAAGGTGTGCATATATGAAACAAGCTGCCAGAGGAGGTGATAGAGGTGGGTGCAGTTCCAACATTTAAAAGACATTTGGACAGATGCACCTTTAGGAAAGGGTTGGAGGAATAAGGGCTAAATGCAGGTAAATGGGGCTAGTTTGGTTTCGGAAATCTGGTCAGCGTGGACAAGTTGGGCCAAAGATCCTGTTTCAGTGCTGTATACCTCTGACTTATTTAACTCCCAAGAGTAAAGTTTCTTTGATCAGTATTTGCACCCAAAGATTGCTTGGAATTGTGCTGCTTAGCATATGCTTCAAGTCTGCTAAACATAACTTGCATAATCATATAGAAGTCTTCAAGTCCAATTGTAATAGAAAATAATTGTTTTGTTTTCTGTCTATTTAAAGTATTTGTTGATTCTCTTTTTAAGTGTGTTAACCTGGTGCATGTTTATTAAGAGAACAGATATGGGTTTCTCAGCAAATTATATGCATTTAATCAGGCGTCCAGTAATGTTTTGCACTAAGCTGTATGCATGTGTGGCCATTGAAGACTTAAAGATGTTGTGGATTGAAATAATCAAGCCATGTGCAACTTGGAAAATTTCAAGGAATCACACTGGTGTCCATTCCTCCATTTGAGTAAATTGTTTTAAAAACACCTTTTTTGAAAAGAAGTCTTGCAATTATGTACTGCTTTTCAAATGTTCCGGATTTCTTGAAGTACCAATTGAATGCTCCCTTTTTGGAGTGTAGTCACTGTTGTAGCACTCACAACAGCCAATTTGCACATAGCAAGTTCCTACAAACACCAATGACTGAATAGTCTATTTTTGCCATGTTAACACATTGGCCAGTGATAGAGCGTCAGTTTTATGCTCAAGCCCTGGAAATTCTATTTTAATACCAAAAATACCTTTCAATAAACAAGTTAGCAGTATAATTCTCCAGTACTGAAGAAGGGTCACTGGGCTCGAAATACAAAACTTTGTATTCTCTCCATAGATGCTCCCAGCCATTGCAATTTCAGTATTTGTTTGTTTCAGATCTCCAGCATCTACAGTTCTTTTTTCTGTACTAATAGTTTAATTGGTGCACACTAGGTATGTACTTAGTACGTACTCGGTATGAACTCAGAAAGTTAAGTACCTTTAGACAGGTACAATCTAAAATTGTTTTCGTGCTCGCCATAAGGAAATCAGCTCAATTTGAAGAACCTTCCTGGTCCAATGTAATTTGTGGAATTTCAGTTTTGACCTGGAATTATAGACAGCTTCATGGATAAAGGCTGTTTAATCTTGAGCCAGCTTAAAAGATAAAGGAAATATGAGTAAATAGCTTTGTGTTTAAGTCACTTATGTTTACACACCCTGCTTGTTTAGCTGAGTAGATTCTGCCTGGATTGCATTGATATTACTGGTTGGAAAACAGTCTCTGTGTTTTGTTTTCTCAGTTTGGGATTGCAGCTCTCAAACTTTCAGCCTGCTTGCTGGTGACCTGGATTACAAGTAACCTGCTGGTCTGTTCCCATTCCCCCATAGCTTGCTGTTATGTTGTCTGATTCAAGACTTCACAAGATATGTTCCTCAGCTCAACTGCGTGAGAATGTCAGTGGAGTACTTTGGGGAGACTGTCATGCTGTGATAATGCAATTGGACTAGTAATCCAAAGTCAATCTGATACTCTGGATTATTGATTCATAAATCTGGAATTGAGATCCACTCTCTGTTACAATGGTGCTGCTGTTGCTACAGTGCCCCAGAATCGTAGGAGAACCAATATTAAGCAATCTAGCCTGTTCCATTATTACATTAGATCAAGCTGATCAACCCCACTTACCCACCTTGACACCCTTACCCAACAAAAATCTGTCAGTCTCAGTGTTCAGCTTGGCTGTGTGCTGTACAGGAAAACAAGGAAATGTAGTCTAAACTTGCATGGGAGCTGTGGGTAATCTTGTCTGAAAGATTTGGAATTGGCAGTGAAGAAGTCACGGCAGGCCTGTTGACATTTGAAGATTTAAGCTGTTAAATATGCAGTGCCCATGTATTCCATGCAGTGTTAGGATGTTAAGATAGGCACCAGAGTTAAGTGTTGCCATTTTATCTCCTTTCCTCAATATATTAGTGTGATTTGTTTCTTCCAAGCCCTGTTTGTACTTGCAGCTCATTCCTTTCTCTTCCTTCAGTGTCCTGTACATTTAGCTGTACTTTAAAGTTCACTGTGAAAGACTGTGATCCTAATACGGGAGAGGCTGATGAAGAGGGCTATGAAGATGAGTATGTGGTAAGTGGAACAGAACCAGTTCATCTTTATGCCCCGATGAGTCCAATATTCTGTGCCATAGTGAAGCAATAGAAGGAAAGCCTTGGTATTGATGTAAAACCTTTCAAGACCTCAGGATGTCCCATTGCATTACAAGCGATTTGTACACAGCAAGATCTCATAACCAGCTGACTAGATAATCTATTTTTGTGGTGGTAATTTGGTGGGTATTTAGTGGCCAGGACAATGGAAATAACATTCCTACTTTTCTTAAAAGTCATGGGATTTTTTTTTTTTTTTTTTTTTTTTTTTTTAGCCTTCATTGGTGGGTCCAGATGGGGGATGTTAGATTCATTGGAAAGATAGCCGTTACAGGGCTGTCTTAGTACAAAGGTTGGCTGAGTGGTTGAAATTGATGAAGAAAGCTGTAAGCCACATGAAAATCTCAGTGGACAGTCAAGTGATAGAAAAGTGGAAAATGGAATTCAGCCCATACAAGTGTGAGGTGATGTCTTTGTGAGAGGCAAACAAGGCAAATAAATGCAGTATAAATGGGAGAATACTGAAACTATATTGGAGCAGAGACAGCTTGGAGTGCATGCTCACAGGCCCTTGAAAGCAGGGGGACAGGTAGGTAGTAAGGTGGTTAAAAAGACATTCAGGGTATTCTCTTTATCAGCCATGGCATTGGATACAAGAATAAGGAGGCTATGCCAGAACTGTGTAAAACACTAGCCTGGCCACAACTAGACTACTGTGTTCAGTTCCCATCATCACATTTCAGGAAGGGTGTGATCATAGTCATGAGGATAGAGAAAGGATATAGAGGAGATTTACAAGGATGTTTTCAGGACTGGCAAATTTTAACAATGACAAAGGATTGAATAGGCAAGGATGTATCCTTAGGAACAGAAAAGGATGACCGTATGGTCTTTAGGAGAGATTTAATTAAGGTGGATAAAATTGTGAGGCTGAGAGAGATTGGATAGAAGAGACACATTTCCCTCAACAGGTCAACAACCAGCTGTCTTGGGTTTAAAGTAATTGGTAGAAGGATTAGAAAGAAGTTGAGAAAATCTTTAACCCCGATGGTAGTGGCAGTCTGGGATTAGCTGTCTGAAATGGTGGCAGAGGCCTAAATCCTGCTGACATTTAAAAAATAAATAATTGGCAATTTGTTTGAAATGCTGTAAACCTACATGGTTATTGACCAGGGGCTGGATAGTGAGATTAACCGTCAGCTTATTTTCAGTTAGTGTAGACATGAAGAGCCAAATGGCCTCATTCTGTGCCATGAATATTCTATACCTCTGTTCAACCTAGAACTCAAGCCTAGTGTATACTTGACTCCCCAATGTAAATGCAGTAGGGAGAGTGAAAAGTACTGGTACTTATGGTACAGATACAATGCCTGTAATCCAGCCATTTGAAGACAGGTGGTGTATGAAAACAAGATTTTTCTTTAAATAGGCAACATTTGATTTTCCCTCCTTATTGATACCTTTCGTCTAATTGCAAGTTAGGAAATTCCTTGGGACTGCCCTTACTCCTCTGCCGACACTTAGTTACAATGCAGCGGAAACCCCATTAACTTGGATTAACAAAGCTTTGGCTACACTTTGGCAAAGGAACATTGACAAACCTGAAGCAACACCAAAGAATTTCCTGCTTCATCTTGCAGCATTGTCTGTCTTTCTTTCAAGTCTGACCTTTTCAACACTTAACTTGAATCATATGCCCTCGACACTCTGTTCACGATATGATCCGAAATCCTGCAGGAATTTGAATGTGTCTGAGTAGGCATTTGTTGTGTGTCATAGCAACTGGTAGATGCCATAGACACCTCTGCTCAAAGTCAGCTTTATTTTGTCTTCTGTCCCAGCTGGAAGATGTGGAGATCACTGTGGCAGATCACATCCAGAAAGTCCTGAAACCAAACTTCAGTGCTGCTTGGGAGGAAGTGGGATCTGAATTTGAGAAGGAGGAGACCTTTGCCCTGTCCAGCATGAAAACACTTCATGGTTAGTGGTAACAAGTGGTTAGCAAATGTAACACTGACCTGTACATAGCACAGGTAATTCGTAAGGTTCTGTACTGTGACTGCATTGTAAACAAAACCCTCTTGTTCCAAGTAGTTGTGGCAGGATAAGACTTGCATCCCACCACAGTTTTTGAAAAAGGTGCACTGTGCTTGTGCCTCCACTGGGATCAGCCCGAATGCTGTTCCATGGCTGACAACACTTGCTGTCCTGGGGCTGACACAGTGTTGGGTGGTATAATTGGGGTAAGAGCTATTTTGTTGACTGTTTGTGATCTTTAATATCCAGCAGTAAATGCTGTGCCATTCAGTGGGCCTTGACTTGCTTCTGGGATTCAGTCATTTGGACTAGGCTGTCAACATTTGTGGGTTGCTGAGTGCAGGCCAGTAGCCATGCTGGTGCTGCTGCATATGGTTCACCTTCTAAACCTTGCTGTCCTTGTGTTTGCAGAGGCCGTGAATAACATTATTAACTTCCTGGGCATGCAGCCGTGTGAGAGGTCTGACAAGGTGCCAGAGAATAAGAATTCTCACACACTTTATCTAGCAGGTAAGCTGGTCCCTTAACCACCTCCAGGCCCCCACCCAGCGGTGGTCAGTTTGGACTCTGATGTCATGAACATATTGATGCCCCAGTATCCTAGAGATCTGTTTCTGGTGCGTGTCAGAGGTTCAATCTTTGTAAATTCTCTATTTGCCTTCCCAAGGCTGAACATTGATGACTGCCAACAACTTGCTTGTGAGTAGCACCTTTCGCATTGTAAAACACAGTCGACTTTGTGTGCTGCCCTGGCTACTGCGATTTTAAAAATGAAAATTCTGGGTGCATGTGTTTTTTTTTTTTGGCAATGCTGATATTAGTTGCCTATCTTCCACTGCCCTGATCTAGGTGCTGCACTAGACTACTAAAGAGGGAAGTTATGTGGCAACAAGGCAGGTAACACTCTGAGTATAGCGGATAGATGGGAATTAGAGGCACAAACACATTCGCTGTGATCTTATTGAATGGTGGAGCAGGCTTGAGGGGCTGAATGGCCTACTTCTGCTCCTATTTCAAGTCCCGGAGGTCAGTGTGAGTAGATCTGCCCTAAAGTGACCCTGTGGGGTCTGACTGCTTCAAGGTCTGTTTTGCTGAAAGCAAATTTCTATTACCAGATTTTGTTTTAATACAAATTTTCAGACTGTTCCTTTGGAATTTAAGATTGACTGTGAACATAACCACTTTGCTCCTGCACTCTTACTTTGACTTGGATGGCATTGCAAGAGTGAGCTTGGTGGGGGGGGCAGTTGGTGGCTTCTTTGGGGAAATGCCTTCTGATGTGATTGGAAGCACTGACCTGGCATATCGACACCCAAAACAAGTAATTTCTGGGTGTTAGGGTAAACACCCGCAGCAGTTCATGGCACACAGTCTCTCCCTCATCTCTGTTCAGTGTCTGCCAAAGCTGGAAGGAGCCTTTATCCTTACCGCAGCGATGTCGGCATCTGGGCATTGATGTACCCTTTACAAAGTCCCTGGCGCTATCCCAAATTTGTAAGAATGTGAAAGTCTGCTAGTGTCTAACTCATAAGAGCCTAAAGCTAGCCCCTGTTCATTTTCTGTGGTGCTGTAATTTGGATTTGCTTTTACATCTTGCTTGCACGATACCTTTAAATCTCTCGGGTCTTCTGGGAGTCCACCTGGTGGGGTCAGATGTGCCCAGCACATGGTGGTGAAGAGTGGGGTTTGGTTTAAAGCACTATCTGTAATAACTGCATCATTTGACATAGTAAAAGCTCACTCAGTGCCAGTCCCTACATTCCAATGAGACGGGCTCTATAGGTTTGACTGAATGAGGTTGGTTGACATTGAAACGTAGAAAGTAGGGTCAGGAATAGACCATTCAGCCCTTCAAGCTTGTATTGATATACCTGCGCTGCCGTTCAACATCATCCAACTCAGTCCCCTGTTCCCTCTTTCTTCCCATACTCTTTGATCCCTTTAGCTCAAAGAACTATATCTAACTCCTTTAAAATATTCAGTGTTTTGGCTTAAACCATTACCTGTGGCAGAGAATTCCACAGGGTCCCCACTCCCTGGGTGAAGAAATTTCTACCTCACTCAGTCCTAACTGGCCTATCCTGTATCCTTAGACCATGACCCCTGGTTCTGGACTCCCCTGGGCCCACACTCTTTGACTCCTGTCCTCATTACTGAGAGATTTGTCCACCCTGTCTGATACTTCTCTGATTCCTTTTTGCAGCATTAAGTTTCTAGCATTGCCCATTAAGGCGTAATGTAGGAGCTGGGATCAGATGTCAGCCAGACTGAGGTGCAGTAGTGGTGAGGGAATGTCGACTTTCCTTCAGGGGAGAGCATTTCTTTCTGCTCCCATTCCTTATGGTCACAGTTTATTGAATTCAGTGAGTGACTGAAATGGAATTTGAACTCTCTCCCTTTTGAGTATTTAGTCCACCATACTATCAGTCTGCCCTAAAGTATCACTTGTTGCATATTTCCAAGAGACTTGTAAGGGTCAGCAAAGATAATTACTGTTGGGTGTCAAAAGTAAGCTGAATGTTATTACTATTCACTTCAAGCACTGGCACTGACAGGAGTGGGAGTAAACCACTTGGTTCTTCAAGCTGTGATCTCAACCCCACCGTCCTATCTGCACACCAAAATCCTTGACTGCTTTGTCAATCAAAATCTATTTAACTCTTGTCTTGTAACTCTCTGCCTGAAAAGTCAGTGGAAGCCAAGTCCTCGAATGTTTTTAAGGTAGTGGTATAAATTCTTGTCAACCATTGGGATGAAAGATTGTCTGGAGTAGGGGGGAATTGCAGATCTGAAGTTTGAAATGCATCATCCAATAGTTGAGGTGAGAAGCATAGATGCATTCAAGGTGATGTTGCCAGAGATAAATATGTGTGAAAGGAATTAAACGAAATTAAATTCTGTGCCAGTGCGCCTTTCTCCACTTCACCTGATTACAGAACAGTGCTCCAAAAGCTTGTGATTTTAAATAAACCTGTTGGAGTATAACCTGGTGTCGCGTGACTTCTGACTTTGGAATTTAAAAGGTGTGTTGATGGGATGAGATGAAACCTAATGGAGGAAATTGATGTGGTGCATAAATACCAATAGAATGGCAGGTTTTTTTGCACTGAACCTTCTGAGACCTCAGCACCCAAAACAACATTGAGCCTGGCCAAATAACCTTGCTTGATCCCTGGAAATGACCTTTCCTTCTCCCGTCTCAGGTGTTTTCCGCGGAGGTCACGACCTCCTTGTGAGGGCCCGGCTTGCCCTGATGGATGGAGTGACCATGCAAGTGACCGCGCGCAGTAAAGACGAAGTTCCTGTCGATGTCATCATGGCCTCTGTTGGTTAGATTCTTCTATGAAGAAAACGCTGGACCTACTCTCGCTGCCCAGGGTGGGTGAGAGATTTCTAAGGGAACGCCATGACTCGTTCATTTTATTGCTAATTATGGGGGAGAAAAGATTGAGCTTGCTTCAGTGATGCAAAAATAGATGCTGTCGGATCTTTTGCATCGGGAAGCAGGTTTGTGAAATGATCACTTGTAATAATATCTCTGATTAATGTTAGGAAATGTTTGGAGAATACCAGCAAATCAGAATGAATTTTAAGTACCCTTCATGCCTATGAGGGCTTGTTACATTACACATATATAATACACAAACTGTAGTATGGAACACAGGGGCATTAACTTTTTTTTCCCCTGTCTGTAATTTGTTGAATAAAAAGGCTTTTGTTATTCCAATTTCTGTCTGTTTTGTTTTGGTTTGCTGCTGATTGAGACAGTTAAAAGGAGTTTCAAAAGGAATCCTGTCCCCTGTACAATTTGAAATTTCTCTTTCCCTCCTAGCAGCAGGATCTTGGGCAGTTTGAGGTGGACATTCAATGTCAACTGAAGTCCACATTTTGTGGGGATTATCTGGATAGTCAACAGGACCTGGTGCTGGCCATTCCTTCCTGCTTTCTTCCTCTTCCTTTCCCCTCCCGTGGCTGTACCCCACACCATCGCTTACCTGACCTGGCAGGGAACTATGGTGGAACAGGGACTAGTATAGAAACAATCCTGTTTGCAGCCGCATTCAGCCCTGAGGTGATCCCAATACATGTCTGTGGAGTGTGCTCCCTCAGGACAGCCATTCCTGAGCAGCATTCTCCCCCTACCCCATCACAAACAGCCAATGATACTGCTGTGTGTTGTATTCTGTCATTGATAAACCCTGCGGTTGTTGAAAATGTTGGTCTATTTCTGGTTTTGTGAATGCAGCTCGAGCTGTGCTATCAATGTTCTACAATCACACTGAAAGATGAGTTGATTACTATACCTAATATGTTTATATGACCCCACCTGTTCTATTCCCTCGCTTCCTGTGGCACACATTACATTTAATTTTCTCAGTGGGGAATCTGCTGCTGAGCAATCTTATAATTCCTAATTTTCCTCACTCGTGCATTCTGAAGAGTATATCCACTTCCAAATTACAAACCAGCCTGATAGTATAACTGTGAAATTACTGTTGCAGATGAATCGCAGCAGATTTCGCTGTCGGCTAGATTTTATACATTGAAAATTCCACAGCTCCTTGGTGCGTGCAAATTGGGTTTTATTTCTGCAGTGCTGGTCAGTCAGCGGGTGAAAGATGTTAATGCTGAGTTAATGCACTCTCGGGCGTGGACAGTTGGCATTATAGAGACGGCAATCTGAACAAACTGTCTTGTAATGTCTTTAATGACTGAAACTGGACAGTTTGCATAAGATTTTAGGGGTGTAGATGTCACTGGCAAGACCAGCATTTATTATAAGCAAAGGCGGAAGTTGCTGGAAAAGCTCAGCAGATCTAGCTGCATCTGTGAAGAGAAATCGGAGAGTTAACGTTTCAATCGAGTGACACTTCCTCAAAAACCTCGCATTTATTATCCTTGAGAAGGTATATTGCAGGTCCTTTTGGGAATCCTGGTAATCAGTGTGGTGAAGGCATTTCCACAGTTCCACAGTTAGGGAAAGGGGTTTGTTTCCCAGAATTTTGACCCGACGACAGCAATATATTTACAAGGCGGGATGCTGACAGATTTTGAAGGCATCCCAAGGTGATGGTCAGATAAAAACAAAATACTGCTGCAATCTAAATTATAAAGAAGGTGCTGGAGAAACTCAGCAGCTCTGGCAGAGTTTGTGTGTTCTGGAGTAAAATCAGACTCAAAACGTTACCTCTGTTTTTCTCTCTCAGAATATGCCACATCTGCTGAGTTTTCCAGCCCTTTGTTTTGATACAAGAAGTGATGGGACTGGTCTGTACATGTTGCCCCCACCCCTCCTTCAAGGAGATGGAGTTGACCGTTGGTTAGTGCTTCCAAGTGTTAATCTGCACACACTGCCTCCTGGCGGTCTTGCAGAGGGCGTGAATGAGGGAGTGAACCTCCTGGGACTGATTGGGCTTCTTGGAGTCTTTTTTTTTGTTACCTAGAATCATACAGACATACAACACAGAAACAGACCCTTCAGTCCAACCAGTCCACACTGACCATGTTTCCAAACCAAATTAATCCCACTTGCCTGCATGTGGCCCATATCCCTCCAAACATTTTTTATTCATGTACTTATCCAAATGTCTTTTGACCGTTGAAACTGTACCCGCATTAATCACTTCCTCTGGCACTTCATTCCACACACTAACCACTCTGTTTTAAAAAAAAAGTTGCCCCCCATGCCCTTTGTAAATCTTTCTCCTCTCACCTTAAAAGATACGCCCCCTGGTTTTGAGCGCCCCCACCTTAGTGAAAAGACCCGCTTTAATCACCTTATCTATAAAGGTCACCTGTCAACCGCCCATGCTCCAAGTGAAAACAGTCCCAGCCTTTCCAGACTATTTTTATATCTCAAGCCCTACAATTCTGGCAACGTCCTGGTTAAACTTTTCTGAACCCTCTCCAGTTTAATAACATCCTTCCTATCACAGACTGACCGGAACTGCACACAGAGGCCTCCTCAACATCCTGTACAACTCCAACGTGATGTCCCAATTTCTGTACTCGAAGGTCTGAGCAATGAAAGCAAGTGTGCTAAACGCCTTAACCACCCTGTCTATGTGTGATGCAAATTTCCAAAAAATTATGTACCTGAACCCCTAGATCTCTGTTCTCCCTACCATTAATTGAATAGTATTGTATACCTGCACTCGTCCAAACTCCAAACGTGCAAGGACGATATAATGCTTCCTTGATTCTGATCCTGTGGGAAAAAGCTCTTTTGTGTGCATATTGTACAATGGAGTTATGGATAATGATGATGGGTGGTCTAATTTTCCTTCTGTCACACAGCTGAGCACGAATCTCTCCTGTTCTTACTGCCTGACATGTTGAAAGGATTTACTAGTTGATATTCAACCTGTTTAGCCTCAATTGTAAACACAGCTTCCTTGACCAAGTCCTAGAGTGGGATCTGAAACCAGAACTTCTGGTTCAGATACACAGACACTTCCCACTGCACTGTGAGAACACTCTGTACTTATGAAATACAAAATGCTTTACTTTAAAACGTAAGCAAAAATGTGCAATGGTGAATACGGGCATCAGGATCTAATTAAGTGTTTGGAGCCTGTTACACTTGTGCTAGCTGTGAGAAATCATTTCATGCCATTCTCCATTTAAAATACTTCTAAGAAATATTGTTCTACTGTACTTTTGAAAAGCTATCATCGAATCTGCCTCCATCTGTGTTTCTAATAATCCTTTGAAAAATGTATCTCCTAACATTGAACATTTTAATCTCCTATTTACTGACTCAGTGACCAGAGAAAATACTTCAGCCACTTGCCTGTTTCTCTCAATGAAACCTATTATAAATTCCGCTCGGACGAAAAGGCAGCCATTTCTCAGACTGTTGAACGGCACTTCCGAGAAAATTAGTCAAACCTTGTGGGGAAAATGTTTATAAATTTCTGATCTTCTCAGGCAGGTGAGGTAAATGTGAATTGGGGAATCAATTGATCACACTCTAAACGCCCATCTTTTACCGCAATCAGTTTGGCTGAATTAGTAGCATGGAATCTCTGAAATGCACAAGTAATCCAGCCTGAAACACTTTGTACCGCATTCAGAGAACACTGCACTGACAGAATCACCACTATTGGCTGAGATATTAAACCAAGTCTCCTTTTTTTAAGGAACAAAACAGAAGTTGCTAGAAAAGCTCAGCAGGTCTGGCAGCATCTGAGAAAGGTCACTGGACCCGAAACATTCACTCTGATTTTTTCTTCACAGATGCTGCCAGTCCTGCTGAGCTTTTCCAGTAACTTCTGTTTTGTTCCTGGTTTACGGCATCCACAGCTTTTTCAGTTTTATTTTTAGGTGATTGTAAAGGCTAGCATTCCAAGAAACAACAATTTCCTTTTATATGAATATCTGGGCTATATTTATCACTCAATCAGTGCCTAATCGCAGATTATCTGGTTATTTATCGCATTGCTGTTTGTGGGAGTGTTTTGTGTGTAAATTGGGTGTCTCCTCCATTAAGAAATCATACATGTTTAAAGTGCTGTTTGGGATGCAAGTGGTGTTAGCAGGACAAAAAAGGAAGTCCTTTCCCCTCCGTAGAATTCAACCTTTGCTCAGTTGACTGGACACCTGCTTTGCGATTCAAAGTGACAGCAACAGTGCAGTTTCAATTCTTGAACCAGCTGAGGTTAACATCAAGGTCCTGTTTTCTCAGCCTCTCCCCTTGTGGTGACCGTCAGGTTAAACTCCTCACCAGTCATTGTATTCTACTGAGAGAGCAGGACAATGGTCCTCTTGGACTTCATCTTGGTATTTTCTAATCCACCTGTTCAGAGATGCCAGCGTTCATCTCTGGAGCAGATGGGACTTGAACTTCGACCTCTTGGTCAAGAGGTGAATTAGTACTGCCTGATGAGAATCTCCAACCATATTTTATCCTGTGTGCAAATTAATCTAGAGCCAATCTTACGGAGTCTGATGATTATTTTGAAGTGAGGCAGCCTTCTGTGCTAAGGGAAATGTAATGCAGTGTAGGGCTGGATGGTCAGAGATGAATTTGGGAGGTAATATATATGGAGGCAGCAAGAACTGCAGATGCTGAAGTCAGAGACAACACAGTGTGGAACTGGAGGAATACCGCAGGCCAGGCAGCATCAGAGGAGCAGGAATGTTGACATTTTGGGACGGGACCCTTCTTCAGAAACGGGGAGGGCGAAGGGAGCTGGGAAATAGAGAGGAGGTTTGGGGTTGGGGAAGGTAGGTTGGATGGTGATAGGTGAGTGCAGGTAGGGAGTGGTGGGGATTGGTCAGTGAGGTGGGGGACAGGTAAGTGGGAGAGAAGATGGATAGGTTGTGTCAGGTCAAGGAGGCCGGGATGAGAGGGAGGTTTGGATGTGGGATAAGGATGAGGGTGGGGAGATTTTAAAACTGGTAAAATACACATTTAAGCCATTGGGCTGTAAGCTCCTGAGGTGCAATATGAGGTGCTGCTCCTCCAGTTTCCGGGTGGCATCATTGTGACACTGGAGGAGGCCCAGGATGGACATATCACCCAGGGAGTGGGAGTTAATATGATTGGTGACCGGAAGGTGGTGGTGTTTGTTGCACACAGAGCGCAGGTGCTCTACAAAGTGGTCTCCGAACCTTCGTTTGGTCTCACCAATGTAGAGGAGGCCACGTTGGGAGCAGCGGATGCAGTAGACCGAGTTGATGGATGTGCAGTTGAACCCATGTCTGATGTTGAAGATTTGTTTG